TGTGTTGATGCGGCAGATGGCAGAACCCATTTAGAGTAGGCAGGTTTGCGGGGTCTGGGCTGCCCCTCTCCCTGCCCTGTGACAGGACCACATGCAGCAAATAGATTAAGAAGCTGAATGTTTGAGATAGAGCACATTTTTCAGTACTCCTCAATCCTCTCCCACCCCCCACAAATAGGAAGGCTACTCAACTTTAAAGCTATGCAAGTTAATACAAAACGTAAATTCAAATATAGCGTGATTTTAAACAACATATAAAATTTCAAAGAAGAGAATACTTTATCTTGCTGCTGGGAATTATAAATGGCTCATGTAACATTGAAGGAAGAGAAATAAATGTTATTCTTGCATAGTCCATGGACCTGCTTTGAATATGAGTTCACAGTTGAAAGTACAATTTATTGGTTTCTAACTTATAAATTTTAAGACAAAGTATGAATGTCTTCATTAGTTACAGACCACAACACTAATATTAAATGTAAAAATCAAGATAGAGCTGTCTAAGCAGAAAGAGGGAAGGGAGGGAAAAGGTGGAAAGTTAGTGGTGAAGTCACTTTACATGATAGGAAGTTCAGCTGTAAATTGACTCGAGTTCATTGATTAAGACATAGAGGTATATTATTTAAAATTACAAATGTAATGAAGAGAAGATATATAATGTAACTTATGAAACATTCCAATTACAATGGTAGAGATTAATGTAAGAGCTAAAGCCTCCCTCATCTTTTGCAGCTGGAAGTTAAATGTTGTCTAGAGTGCTAAATCTAGAAATAAAGAATATAAACATTTTTAATTATGGAGGTAAACACCAGAAAAATGAAAACAAAACCTGTTAAGAGCTTGCCAGTGGTCCCCTTCTCTTATTTCCCTGATAAGTTCCTAATAGGTTTCTTCTCCAGCCACTTACACTGATGCTCTTCATGGCCTCCATTTTCATAGCACATACACCTGAGCTAGTTTATTCACACCAGTGACTTCCACTACTGCATGTGGAACTGAATCCCAAAGTTTTTCTCTAACCTGATTGTTCCTTAGGTGCAAAATCTGCATATCCCTGTGCTGGTGGCATTTGAAGTGTGACACATCCAAATGAAAATCATCACTCCATTTGTTTCTCTATTCCTTTGTTTTAAACAGTTTTATTGAAATTAACTTACATATCATAAATTTTACCCATTTTAAGTGTAATTCAATGACTTATCAAACTTAGAGTTGTGCAGCATCTCTATAATCCAATTGCAGAACATCTTTATCACCCTCAAATGATCCCTTATGCTCATTTGCAGTTATTTCCTATACCCAGCCCTAGTCCCAAGCAATCCTGTCTCTCGTGATTGGTCTTTTCTAAAATTCCATATAAATGGAATCACACAATATGACATCTTTCTGACTGGCTTCTTTCACTGAGCATGTTTTTGAAATGCATTCATACTGTAACATGCAAATACTTCATTCCGTTTTTATTGCTGAATAGTTTTCCATTGTATGGCTATTGCACATTTTCTTTTTCTATTCCTTGGTTGATGGTTATTTGAATTGTTTCTGGTTTGGGGTACTATGAATAGTATTTTAGACATTTCATACATATCTTCGTGTGGGCCTGTGTTTCCATTTTCTTTTAGATACATTCATGTAAATTTCTGTTTAACTTTCCAGAGATTATCGAGCTATTTTCCAAAGAGATTTCATCATTTTACAGTCCTACCAGCAGTACATGAGAACTCGTTTCTCCATATTCTTGCCAGTACTTGTTATTGTGTAATATTTTTAATTTAGCCTCTAGTAGGTGTGAAGTAGTTTTAATATACAATTCCTTAGTGGGACTTGAAAGTTAGCCTTGATTTTTCTTTCTTTTATACCCTATTCACCCATTCTGTGGGTGCACCTTTTAAGTATATCTTTACTTCTTCTTTCCCACACTACCATCAAATTTCCCACACTACCATCAAAATGAATTTTCTAAAATACAGATGTGACCATGTAACTCCTTTGCTAAAAGCTCTTTAAAGTGTCCCCCTGACCTTTAAGATAGTTTGCCATCTGGACTCTACTTATTTTACTTTGTTTTTTCTTGTCACTCATTCCCCCCCCCCCCCACTCCACTTTCCTACAAACCTGCTGACATGCCCAGCACATATCCTGGCCTGCAGTCTACTTGCAATTAGCTGAATACATTAGGATTTTCTTTCTTTTGTGACTTTGAATGGGCTGTTAGCTCTGAATGTCTGGAATGTTAATCCATCTCTGTTTACAAACTCTTACTCACTTTTCAAGGCTCAGAATAAGTATTACTTCCTCTTGGAATCACTTCCCTGATTTACCTTAACAGTTAAATTTAACTTTTATATGGGTTAATGCATTGGTGTCTGTAAGAAAATGTTAAGTTGAATTGCATATAATTGTCATTTTTGTAATGCCAAATATGCTTTATATGAGCCAGACTAAAATATTTTTTAATTCTCCTTTATGTGTATGTATATCATTTGTTAAATGTAGTAGACCAATTACTACGTTTGTTGATAGCTTGTTCTTAAAAACCAGTGTAACAGGGGACTGGAGCCAATGGTTGTTACAGGTGGCACCCCCTGGAGGGTGGCATAAACTCCAGGTGAAAATATTGGTGGAGACTCTGAAAGGAAATACAAAGAACTGCAGAAGCAGTCCCTGGGGTTTTGCATCTTTGGGGATCATTCAGCATTCAGGGTTTCAGTGTTTGCAGATTTTCAGTGATTCTGGGGTCAGCCATTTCTGCCCCTGCCATGTAGATCTCCAAAAGGCTCTGAAGGATGTGGCGAGGCTTCCAGCAGCCAACCTCAGAGGAGAAAAGTTTGGATGGAGGCTTTGCAGGTGGCCGAGCAAGTGGAACTGTTCTCAGCTTTGCTGCTGTTACAGCCTGGCAGGGGAGGTGAAGTCCCGGAGCTGGGCGCCTTGCTGAGTTGTGTGAGTGTGGCCATTTGTCAGGTTGTTTTGCTGCTGCAGCAGCTATTTATAGAGTGTCGCTTGCCTGGTGCTGCTCTGGGGCATCTCGGCAATTCCATTGAGCATCTCCTGTTGTGTCTTTCTCTGTCTTGGTGAGTTGGATCCTGGCTGCCATAGACTCCAGGCCCTGAGTGGTGGGAAGGCACCGTCTTGAGAGACTATGTGGTTAGGACTTTAAAGCAATGGACACTGCTTCAGGTGAGGTAAATGGCCATTTATGGCTTCAGTGACTCTTTGTTTTTCCTTGTTTGTTAAATAAATCCCATTATCGTTGTTCTCTGAACCTGAGTACCCTTGCAGTTGTACACACGAGTGAAAAACTCAGACGGTGACCAGTAAACTATTTGGGCACTGTCCCCGGCCAGAGTTTTAGTGCCCCTTGCTGCCCTGTAACACCAAGCTTTTCATTTAGAGTCCAAAGTTAGAGAAACACTAGATTTCCTACTTTAGAATATGTAACCTCAAAGTTGAGTTTATTTGCATTGTGCAGAAAATAATTAATAAACAACTGCTGTTGTAACAGGGTAGTCCCCAAGGAAAGGGGAGGTTCCAGGTTTGCTGCCCCACCCAAGGAAGGACGGAAGGGAACCTGCAGAGGAGACTGAAGAAGGAAGGCTTCAGGATGGAGCCAGAAGAGGCCTGGAGGAGGCACGTGGAGCAGAGAGACATGTGAAGAAACTGCGCTTTGTTTTTGGTCTTGGACTGAGAGAAAGAGATGTGGTAGAGAGACCCCTGGGGAGTGTAGCCATATCAGACTTGTATCTTGATTTTGCTCTTTCTTGCTCCAGATGTGCTGGCCCCTTCTGCCGTTTTCCTGTGGGTCCCCACCAGAAGGTGCCTTAGACTTGTGGCAGCTTTTGGGCCGGCCCTGTTTGGCTGGGCCTTTACCTGTGAAGGGATGTGTAACTTTGGGGACTTGATTTGGAAACTATATTCTTTCCTTTCTCTTTGTTGCACACTAACTGTATTAAAGTTCCTTTCCATTAAAGTTCTTACACACTAGACTATGTTTTGTCCTGATGCAGCCATGGCAGAACCTATTTAGAGCGGGCAGATTTGGGGATTCTGATGTATCCCTCATCCTGCCCTGTAACACTGTGATTCTCTCTTAATAAGTACATTTTAAATGTCATGGATGAAGTCACAAGTTTATCTCTCATGTACAATTTGTCGTCATTTTGACGTTGGTAGAGCATCATCTCCACAGTACAAATAAAAAATTAAAAGTTACTGATTTTCCATTAAAATTTTTAAAATCCAGATCCTGTATGCTACCATTATTTATACGTTCATGCCTAAATGTATACATTTATAAAGATAGTGAGGTAAGTAAAAATTGCCTTTGAATGTGGGATATAATATGTAATAATGAGAATAGTCACAGTTTATTATTTCCTTAAAATAACAAATGTACTAGTTTCAGTGTTGTACTCAATCAAGTAACAATGTCTGAATTGTGGTTTTGGAAATGGAACCATCTAAATGCTTGACATACTTTAGATAATTACATGATGTTGAGCCCTGTATTTTCATTTAAACATAATTATAGTGTTAGTATTTTCCAATTATGTTTTAAATTATATTAAAAAGTTAAAACAATGAAAATATTTTAAAATCATCTCTGTTTTTAAAACTTGCCTTTGCTGAATATATATGTATATTTTCTATAGTTTTCAGACAGTTACATTGCATCAGTACTAGTCATGTTCAGTCACTGTGGTCATTTCAATTTGAATGTGGTGTTGTATGTTCTATCATGACTATTACCCTCTTAATGCACTTTATAAATTCTTCAAGTCATTTATAGGCATGCTATGTGATTTTAAGGTTTTTAAAAAACCCTGTGGTACTATACTTGTTGCATAGTTCAACATTAAAATTTCTTTTCTCCACAAACTTATACAAGAATTATTCAGATGTGCAAAGATCCATAAATTTGTTCTATTTCATAACTTTGAGGACTGAACAGTGATTTCAGAGTACAACTTAATGCAACTCCTTTTCTAAATTACATTCTCCAGTTGCAGCTCTGAGCACGTGGACTAAAGGGGCGGCCACCTGGCTGCCGCCTGACCTCTGTGCACACCCCAGTCTTTGTCTCAGGCTCGCCCACACTGCAGTCCTATGAATCACATTGCCGACTTGTCATCAAATGGAAGGAAGGCACAGCTGCAGTATTCAAAAACTTGAAACGCTGCATATCCAGCAAAATTTCTTGCTTGTATGAATGTAAGTTTTTTGTTTTTGTTTTGTTTTGTTTTTTTTTAACTGAGGTAGCGCTATTTGGAGAAAGAAACTCATACAGTGAGCCAGTAATTATTTCAAATTAATATTTCTTTCTCTCTCTCTCTCTCTCTCTCTCTCTCTCTCTCTCTCTCTCTCTCTCTCTCTCTCTCTCTCTCTCTCTCTCTCTCTCTCTCTCTCGTCTGTATAAGAAAGAGTAGTCTTTGGCTTTGGGAGAAGACCCTGATATTACACCTGTGCTAATAGGAAGTTGTTGATTGAAATTTCTGTTACAAAATCTTTCTGCTTAAGTCACAAAAAGTTCCCTTTGTAAAATAAAATGGAGAGTTTGTAATCATAACGTAAGTATAAATTCTTCACCTCTTCAAATAAATATTTGAATTTCCTTTGTTTCTGTTATAGGTAGATCTTCACACATAATCTTACTTTGCTTTGCCAGAGGCCAGTGTTTAAAAGAAAGGTGTATGTAACTTGGTAAATGTTATGTGCAATCTGTAGTAAACTTAAAAATACTTGTATAAAAGTTTTAAAGATTGTATAGAAGCACAAATCTTTAAAAGATGTTAAAGATATATGGTATGTTTTTGTCCATTTACAATAAACTGAACAATGGAAACTTGTTATTGATTTTATTTAATTTAAAAGGTAGATTAGATATAGGCTTTAAGAAAAAGTAAAAAGTCAATTCAGTTCATTCAACTTAATTTGCTGACATACCTAGGTTATCTCCTGTGGTATACTACTGCATTAACAATGACTATTAAAAATAAAATTTATTAGACTTATCTCCAGAGAGAGATCTAAGGTTACATTACATTATTTAGGTAATGATTTATATTTAGTGCATTTATACTGTTTAATAGCCATCTTTTATCTATTCAATTTAAAAAAATTATGTAATAAGTTTCTTTAAAAAGTTCTAAACAAATAATTTTATCACTAGCATACATGATGTTGTATTAGAATATTTGAAACTAAGTGCCCTCAAGAAGATAATTTTTTCTAAAATTATTAATTTTAGGTGCTGTTTTTCAACCCTAAACTTTTGATCAAGAATGAAACTGTTTAAAAATTAAGATGCCAACAGGTAAATTCTTATATTTTCATCAATACGTGTAATGGCAATGGAACAAAAAAAATGTATTAACACAAGACCTTATATTTGCACATCTAGAATTGTTGCTGAAATTTGAAACATTTTGATTTTGAAATATCTTCCTTTATAACATGAAACTTTGATTTAAGACATATTTTAATGCCTTACTCTACATATAATAACTTTCAAATAAACGTGAAGTCAGAATAAAAATAGGTTGAGAGATGATGATTCAGAATAGATGAGTATTCTTTACCAGTAAACTACTGAGTGTGGAAATATGACTGGTTATAATTCAGTTAAAAGCCAAGGACATTCATTTAAGAACAGGAAGCATTTTACGGTGAAGTTACACTTCACCCTAAATGAAAAACCCTGTGTGGTAACTCCCATGATTCTGATGTTGATGGCCACACTGTTAGCCAGATTATAACTGAAAAATTATAAGCATTAATTAAAATAGTTGTTTTGTATATAAGGAAAAATAATTGTTTGCATTGTGTATAAGGAAAATTTTTGAAATAATTAGTTCTGATTGGTTTACTTTTTTTTCTACTTAAACTCTTTGTAGTTCTGTTTTCCTCTTTATATTTTTGTGCTGTTGTAGTTATAATGTGGTGGTGAAACAGATTCTTCTCAATTCTAGAGTAAAAGGAAAGTTTTAAAATTTCAAATTCTGATGTTGGAGATGTTTGACTCAATAGCAACTACATCTTAATCTTAATAGGTATTGATAGCTCGGTGGCAAGTAGGTGCTAGATACATTTTTCAAAAATTATTATAATTATTTTTTTAATACAGACTGGGAACAGTGCCATTTTCTTGTTCACATAGGATGGCCTAGAAATAGGCCATATATAAAAATAGGCCATATAAAAAAAAAGTTATATATTTCTTTTCTTATCTTTGTTTTATTGAAAAAGTATATTCAACCTAAAGTTTAATGCTAATCAATTATATTCCTTCCTCCAAATGACATTAGGACCACACAGTGCTTTTAACTCCATCATTCTGCTCCTGATTCATAAGCTACTGTCCATTTCTTTCCATTTATTTATGCTAATGAGAAATCATTTTAGATTGTTTCTAGACAGAAACAATCAAGAACCAACAATATGCAATTTTAAAACTGTATTACACACCCCCCCCCACTTAAAGAGAAGGCATTCAGCAGTTTGTTATTCTAATTACAAACAGCAGGTAATGACTCAACATATGGTTATTTCTAAATTTTTCTATATATTGGTGTTGGTGACTGTGAGTGAAAGGAAAGGGATTTTTTTCAAGATGTTTTGGGAGAGGAGATGGAGGCTGGAAGGAAGGAGAGGTACTAAGGGAGATAAGGAAGACAAAGAAAGATAAAGGACAGGTAAAAAGAGAAGACATAATTATGGATAAAGAGTAGGAATAGAATGGTGCATGGGTGAATTGGTGGTGGGAATTTTATGGGGACTACATCTGAGAGTAGAAAGCATGCACTGTGAAAAAATGAAGAATGATGTAAAATATATATAAATAAAATAAATTAACTTAAAAAAAGTTAACAGAAAACAGAAATGGAGGTTTATTTTCTTAATATTCTAAAAGTTTTGACCATGTTCGGAGCAATGACTTAGGTTCTTAATTTTACTTTAGAATGTGTTTTTACAGTTACTAGATATTACCTCTATTTACCTAAAATCTCCTTATAATACAAAACCTCATAAGATTATTTTATTTTTGTTTTTTGGGAGTCTTAAAATTGTCATATTTTAGAAGTTGGTAATAAAAATATTTAAAGATAATTTTGGAGTCAGGATTTGTTTCAACTATCTAAATCTTTTTCCCATGGCAATTTCAGATTTAATGTACTTGAAAGCCAAAAGGAAAAATAAGAATCTCAATACAACTCCTGAGACAAAGAAACTAAACTACACTGCAGAACTTTGGCACTCCATGAGAAAGGCAACTCTTCATTCAGTCCTGATAGACTCCTTTTAATCTGATCAATATGGAGATGTCCTATTTCTGTGATACGGCTGTGACTCCATTATACTTCTTGGCCGTATTGATTAGGATAGATTAATTTTTCTGCCAGTGGAACAAAGGCCATACAACTAGGTATTAATTGAATAAATGACCTGCTTACTAGGAAATAAAATTAAGTCGTACATTTTGAGAAACCATCCCTCTAAATTTTAGAATCACTATTTCTGTCTCAAATACTTAGTCCTTTTTTCTTGTTTCATTAGAAAAACTTTAATTTTCCTTTCTTGATTTCATTTTTTTGGTGTGTTTTAGATCACGAAGAGCCCTGCGGTCCCAGTCACAGGTCATTTTGCCTGAATGGGGGGATTTGTTATGTGATACCTACTATTCCCAACCCTTTTTGCAGGTGAGTGGAAATGATTGGGGGGAGAGGGTAATTTGACTACCACCTTCTTGGAGAAGAGATAAATATTGAACAAAAAGTGTGAGATAAATGAATGTGGGGAAAACGCTTCATATTTATTTAGAACAAAATTATTCTTTTAAAACAAAAGAGTAGCAAATTGCAATCTTACTCAGAGTTTATTTTGAAAATTGAAAGTGGTTGTTTCAAACCTGGGCAGATAATCCGTTTTAGTGAATACACCATGACTTTAGCAATTTAGGAAAAACAGACTATATTTAATATTACTAGTAAAACAGCTATAGGACTCACTAATGTAAAAAAAAGGCCAATGCAAGACACTTTGCTTTGAGTTTAGAATACATAAATACATGATAACTGTGTTGGTACTAAAACCTCCACGGGTTGTATTGAAAAGAAAATAAAGAGTTAATTCATTTTCTAATGGAAGGAGCAAATGAAAAAGGAGGCATATCTTAGCCAGCTATCAGTTAAAGACTTGAAAGTAGTACTTACAGAGCTGGCTTCCTGTGACTATGGTTGAGTGGATTTATGGGGGATATGTCAACATGTAATTAGCAACAGAGTACCGCCACTCAGGTCCATAGACTTGAACAGAACTAGCAGCTGAAGACCTCAGGAACTTTTGTAGCAGTTGTGTGATCATTCTGCTTTTGTTCATTAACTGAAATGAGAAGTACAGAATCTAGATTTTAAGGCCTTAGTGAGTAGGGTTGTGCTTGTGTGGCCAGGGGTATAATGGGCGTTTAGATTTTTCTCTGTCCTCTCTGCTCAGTTTTGCTAGGTACCTAAAACTGCTCTCAAAAGTAGTCTATTAATTTTTGCACAATGTATGCATTTTCATTTTGGCTATATTCCCCATACAATTGCACCCCCCTTATTTTGACCCTAATCCTTCTCTCCCTGCCCCTCCCCCTGTATGATGTAAGAATTATATAAAATAAAATATTTAAAAAAATAAAGTTAAAGGAACAATAAAAAAAAAGAAAATGTCTAAGAAAAATTTGAAAAAGTAATGTAAAGGGAGGAGGCCCTGCCTTCAATGGATTCTATTATAAAGGTATAATAATACAATTAAAATAATATTCAAATTAAAAAAGTAGTCTATTAAAAATGTGGAAAAAAACTGATTTTACTAAATAAAAAGATAGGAAAGTAAAGTTTGTCAGAAAGTGAAAAATATTAGAACTTAGTCTGGATTTGGGAAGGCAGAGAAATAAGCTCATAAATATCTCAAGAAGTTTTTTGAGGTTTTCATGTAGGGAATTGTGACTAGGTATATTTTCCTCTCAAGTGAGAAAGGGAGAGAAGGAACAGAGTAATTATTTTGCACCCTTGAGGTAACTCTACATTATGCCTTTTTATTTTTTAGTCTATTTACTGAGATATTATTTATGTAGGATAAGCTCTATACATTTTTTAAAGTGCATTTTCACAAATGTTTATATCCATGAAACCACCACCACAAGATACAGAACATTACTCCCAGAATTTCTTTGCTGATCATTTTCTTTATTTATATTTTCATATTTCATTCTCACAACAATCTTAGAGAAAAGGACTTTCAAGAAAAATAAGGGGAAAATGAGATATTAAGTGACTTGCCAAAGGCCATACAACTAGGTATTAATTAAATAAATGACCTTGCAGGTCAACTCCTAAGATTCACTTAATCTTATATTTGTTCTGAGTCCTTTCTGTGGGGTTATGGCAGGATGACACTATAAAAACCAAAATGCTTATCAGAACAAATACATTTAATAATTAAAAGATACTAATTTTGCATCTTGATCTTGGTGGTAGCTTCAAGAGTAAAGAGTCTGCCCTTTCACCACAGAATTGTCTTTACACCTTTGTCAAAAATCAGTTGAACATTTTTTTTGTGGGCTATCTTCTGGAGTATTCTATCCCGTTGATCTATGTTTCTATCTTTTCACCAATACCAAACAGTCTTGACAGCTGTAGCTTTATAATAAGTGAAGTAAGGTAATGTGAGTCCTTAACCTTTGTTCCTCGGCTTGTGATTTTCAGCCTTTTTTCCTAATAGGCAGTATATCATGTTAAATGTTTCCAAATACATTTCAGCTGTGTCCTGCAAATTTCATATCATTTATTGTTCAGTTCTAAGTTTACAGTTTTTTCCATTATGATTTCTTTTTTAAGCTCTAAGGATTTTTTGTTGCCTTTTATATTTATGTCTAATTTAACTGCATTGTAGTCAGAGTACTTGGTCTGTCAACTGTACAATTTATATTTGCCTGTATAGTAAACTAAGTGCTATATTTATTGAATATGCTGAAAGAAAGAAGTAAGAGTACTGAAACTGGAGAATCACTGGAATGAGAAGAAACCCAGGGTCTGAGCAGGCCTCTGTAGTGAAACACCATGGCCCAGGTGGCTTTCCTTCTCACCATTGGGGAGGTCAGAAGTCTGAGGTCAGGTGCCAGTGTGGCTGGGTTCTGGGGACTGCCTGCTTCATGATTTACGGATGGACCGGGGTAGAACTCTTGACTGACGAATTTGTTTTCAGGAAGGAGCCAGTGATCAGACTACAGAGGTGACAGAATGAGGAGGACCTTCGAGAGCAGGGTATAAGCAAATTACAGACCACAGGCCAGTTTGACTCTGTTTGACCCTTGAGCTAAGGACATTTTTGGCTTTTTAAAAGGATGTTAGAAAACAAACACAAACAAATACAGAAAATTATGCCACATGTGGCAGGTAGAGAAAAGGTTCAGCAGTCTCCTTTATAAGAATATAATCCCACTCACGAGAGCTCCACCCTCATGGCCTGATCACTGCAGAGGCCCCTTCTCCTGATGCCATCACATGTGGTTTAGGATTTCAACCTAGGAATTTGGTGGTGGTGGGGAAACAAACATTCAATCTGAACAGCTACGTTATCAGTTTACTTTGGTACCTTAGATTGTTTATTGTCAAAGTTACTAATGAAAGAGAATGGGCAGCTTTGCTGGTAACCCATACCAGGCTTAAGAAGATCTGCTTTCTTCTTAGTTTCAAACTTTAATAGTAATGATTAAGGAGAGGTGGGGGATATGCCCTGGGGGTTTGTGATGGACAGGGAAGGAAGCAAGGCACCGTTTGCAGGAACTTCGGGAGGAGACTGCAGCACTTGAATCATGGGCCTTTGTTTTGTTCCATACCTTAGAATGAAATAAAACCAGGGATCAGAGTAAGATTAAGAGGAAAGGAAGAGATGTAATGACTGAAAGATTCAGTGATTTTGGAATTGCAGATTCAGTTTGTATCATATTTTTTAAAAAAAAATTACTTCCAATAATTTTAGATCTATATTTCCTGCATTCAAGGCCTTCATAGTATCAGTCTGTCCTATCTGATATCCTCTCTTAAAATGTTTTTATGTGGGCAGAAGAGCCAAAAAAAAAAAAATTCCCCAAAGAGGAAATGCAAATGTCCAACAGGCATATGAAAAAAAGTTCAGCATCGCTTGTAATCAGGGAAATGCAAATCAAAACTACAATGAGGTACCATCTTACACCAGTGAGAATGGCACATATTAAAAAAACTAGCTATAACAAATGTTGGTGAGGATGTGGAGAAAAAGGAACTTTCCTGCACTGCCAGTGGGAGTGCAAAATGGTCCAGCCACTATGGAAAGCTGTGTGGAGGTTCCTTCCTTAACCTGCTAAAGATGAAGCTTCCATATGATCCAGCAATTCCACTCCTAGGTATTTACCCAAAGGACACAAAAACATTAATTCCAAAGGGTAACTGCACCTCTATGTTTATAGCATCACTATTTACAATAGCTAAGCTTTGAAAACAACCCAAATGCCCCCAAATAAATGACTGGATCAAGAAGATGTGGTACATATACACAATGGAATATGACTCAGCAATCAAAAAAGATAAACACATGCAGTTTGCAGCAACATGGATGGAGCTAGAAGGGATCAGGCTCAGCGAAATAAGCCAGAAAGAAAAAGAAAAATACCAGATGGTCTCACTCACAGCAGGAATTTAGAAAACCTAAATAAGGGACCAGGAAAAAGAATAACTATAAGAAGGAAAAAATCAAAATCAACAAGCAACTATAAACCAGAGACACACTATGAGGGGGAGGGGGAGGAGAGGAGGAATTAGAGTCAAAATAAGGGGGGTGGAATTGTATGGGGAGTATAACCAAAATGAAAATGCATACAATGTGCAAAAATGAAAAATGATATAAGAATTACATAAAATAAAATATATTAAATAAAAAACCCCTGCTTATTTAAAAAAATATCCAAAATTTGGAAACAGGGAAACTGATTACTGGATTTTCAGTATCCAGCTCAGTTTTCTAACAAACTTGCTAGAAAAATCCTTGTTTGACTTGCTAGTTAATATTGAGTCTATTTTGCATTTCTAAAGGAGACTAATTTGGAGAGAGCTTATGGTACAGCAAAGGGTATTTATTTGTCTTACAAAGATAACCCTCTCAAATTACCATTATAACCCTGTGGAAGTTAACCCTGTTTGTATCTATGTAGTAATCTTATTATACATTAAAAAATGTCTTTACTGATTATGGACTCCTGTTTCTGAAATGGTCCTTGAACTACTTTTACCATCATGCTGGATCCTCATTAATGAATCAATTAATAAATATTTGATACATTTTGAAAAAAAGTTTTTATATATACCTTCAGTTCTAAACATCCTGACCTCTGTAAAGGTTCCCGGACACGCTAAGCCTGGCTTCCTGTTTTGGTATACACTAGTTCCTCTGCCTGGAGTGCTTTTCTCCCTTGTCTATAAAATAAGCTAGTTTATCATCTTTTCTTTTTTTTTCTTTCTTTATTATTTTTTATTTAAATATTTTATATAATTCTTACATCTTTTTTCATCTTTGCACAATGTATGCATTTTCATTTTGGTTATATTCCCTATACAATTGCAGCCCCCCCCCCTTATTTTGACACTAGTCCTTCCTTTCCCGCCCCCCGTAGTGTGTCTCT